ATCTACTACCTAAATAGTCCGTTTTGTTTTCGTACTATACAATACAAAATAGTTAAAAACGATTCGTTAAAAAAGTGAAAACAATAAAAAAAAGTCAACAATGTTAGATACGTTTTAGACAATTCGAAAAAAAAAAAAAAATTAAACGATAAAACAAGTTGCTCTCCGACAGTGTTTGACAATCGAGATTAATAATCAATCGCCTACCATAGAATCTTAAAATATATCAATAAAATAAATATCCTTACACAATTCTTCTGTATAATATCAAAGATAGGAATTTCGGAAATAATACTTTCATGTGTGTTGTGTACAATTCTAATTATATTATTAATTATTATTATTAATATTAACAACAAAGTAAATTTAAAAAGTCTTTTCTTCCACCTTTTCGGCATCTGAAGAGAGCGCCTCTATCAGAGATTCTACACAGTTTTTCGGAATCATGGTTCCTGTAAAATAATTCACAGTTTCACTGCATGTATGAATATTGTCACACAAGATCTTTTAATTAGACCAAAATTCATAATAAATAGGGAGGAACATTTAGAATGTTCAGATGTACTCTAGGGCCATTAATATATTATTGGTCCTTCGATAATAGCGTGAAGTATACTAAGAAATATGACGGGGGAAGGAGATTTGTTTATGCAAGTCCACACATAACAAAGTGTATCGAACGTCGTGTGAAATAGTGAATGGATACCTAACCCCCTTTAACCTTTGAAAATACTTACCAACAATTTTAAAGCCGTCCTCCGTTTTGAGTCGTATGACTTGCATTTTGTTGTTGTGTGTTCCACACTTGTTTGCAAGTACACTTTCGACACGACTCCATACTGATAAGACAGAGCCCGAAACGACGTTGTAAGTGCGTCTTCGCAACCCGACCTCGCAGTCGTGTCCCACACTCATGTTCCGGCAATTACCTTGCCAATACGCATGCGAACATGTAGATACTGATGCTTCGTGTTGTTGCGTCCACGCTTCTTGTGCCTCATCTGACTGAACCTACATTAACATAAAACGCCCTGATTATTATTGAACTAAAACTAAGGGACAATTTTTAGTTACCTTTTTGTATTTTTTCTCTAATTCGGCTAAGCTCTCTTGTCGAAATTGTAGCCCAGTGTTCGGCCTGTACACGTAGTACATTTGATCCTTCTTCGATTCGGACTTCTTTTTCACACCTGTATCAATGGCCACAGCCAATATGGCAGTATGTTTGCTGTTTCTGATTTGATGAGAAATGTAAAAACCTTCTTTAGCGCCAGTCAACTCTGACCATTTTTCTATCGCTTCGTCCCATGACATTCCTGAAAATTAGTTAGGTCGAAGGGTTAACAGCTATTCAAGTGCCAACTTGATTGTATACCTAACTTTTGTATACGCGTTCCTGTTGCATTCTCGCGGTAAGATGTTACACATCAAAAAACATTAAATGTTACTTATTTTTATATCATTTTTCATTACAATTTACATCTAAATATATATATCATTAAAGCTTAAAGATGCTATTTACATACGCTTCAATGATCGTTAGATAAAAGGTGTGGTCAGTTGAAGTACAATTAGCGTTAATGTGTATTTGAAATAGAATACAAGAGGTAAATGAAACAATAATAGCAAGTGAATTTTTATTCATTCACTTCTTCACTTTTTTTCAAAAACATCATTACTCCATATTAAACAAAATAACTGTGTTACATTCTAAACAAACTTTTAGTGCTTGTAAGCATTTAGCAATTGTTTTATTAATTAATAAAATAGAAAGGAAAACACAAAAAGTAGTATCCTTCTAAATTGCTTCAGTAATTTCCAATTTAGAAGGTAATACAGTTACAAAAGTGCTGTTATTGTATGAAACTAAATCATGATTATGTACCAAATAACTGTGCTTATCTTATTTAGTAAGAGCACGTAGCTGTCATCCTAAATACAATAATTTGAAAAAAAACAATCAATACCGTTACTACCGTTTCTTTTTTGATATATAAGAAGTTATTTACTGGATCTTAATTTGGTTTTATACAATTGTGGACTTCTACAATAATTGTTATGTAATATATCCCTAAAAATGAGGTCTCACATTCATTGTTTATTAATTTTTGTTAATTATCTGCGTCTAAATTTGCGTAAGTCGTAATCCTCTAGGTACCTAAATAAATTTTATGTGCGTTTCTTACATTAACAACGTAATAGTACCGCCTGTGGCCGAAATTCTGCCAACTGTGGTAAAAGAAGGGTATTGCAAGGGGTCCGGACAAGGATTCACTTAAAACATCCCTACAATTTTAGTGATATGAAAATCACACAATGAACTTTTTCAATATTCTCGATTTTTCTTTACATACAGACACATTTACCTGTTATTTGATACCAATTATGACCATACATATGTATGGAAATGATAATCGCGAACTAGAACTTTACTCGTAAAAAATTCAGGTACGCACGCGTGGGCTGTATGACTAGTCGTTCCGCACTCTTAAAGAATGCCGAGACCTTTTCCCTTTTATTTACATGCTTGTAAATACATACTGTAAATATTACGCAGTCATTTTTTACTTGCTTACTAAGGAGGAAAGCCAGGAATACCTAAAAAAGGTAAAGCACTTAGCCTTCCGTATCTTCCTGTTGTGGTTCTTTTATTTTAAATTTCTTTAAGGCTTACATTTCACTTTAATGCACTGTAGATCATTATTATTAAAATTTGTGTCGAATTTGCATCAACAATTTAACATTTTCTTTACTTAAGTACAGAAGTCCTGAATAATAATAATAATACTATCATGAAGGTGTAGAATGTTTTTAATTACTTACCATAATCGTCTTGTGGTTTCTGCATGGTGGTGTTATGCTAGTCTTTTTTATTTAATTAGATGTTTACAACTCAGTTATCATTCTTGTCTATTGCTAACATGTGCTTTGATTTGTGGTGTTTATTTATCAACATTTTCATAATGATTTTGTAGTTTCGTTTCAACGTTTTTCTTAATTATCACATTTGTTTATTAACATTACTTCATACTTTTTTCTATTAAATGCTTTATTACTTTCTTGTTGCGATTATGTAAGCATTGATCATGTTTTAGACTGTTTTTATTTGTGTAAGGTATGTTTTCTTAAGTGAACGATTAAGTAAGGTATTTATTGTGGTTTTGTAATTAAGTATTAAAGAAGACATTTCTTTAAAAATTGCCACTGTATATTTACTTAATTTTCAGTTTTGAATTATTTCATGGTTTCGTTTTTACGTTTATTAATTCATTATATTTCAT